ATAATAATTCCAAACATGGATCCTTTTGGCTAAAAATTGTTCTCTCATAAACTGACAAACAGAGTGAGGTAGAAAGGAGAGAATAAATAGATCACCACCAAAAATACACATAAAAGCCAAAGATCACCTGCCATTAGTTCTTCTCGTAATTGTTGGAAACGAAGTTGATGGTTGTCACCAACTCCTCCTCTTCCACAAGACGAGATAAAGGCAAGTAGTTAAAAGTCCAAAAACTGTTTCTAATCTGATTGTATATAAACACAAAGATAATTTTATAACCAAATGCCACACATGAGGCAAAGATTCAATGTTCCGAAGAGTTTTCCTATTAATATGATCTCATCACCTTTACTGCGAAACCAACCATCATGTCTTAGTTTTATTACCCAAAGTACTAAATTTCACCATTTGTTTAACGTTAAATAATCACCGACACCATTTTTTTTTTCTTTTCCAGGGGGGCCAAGATAATTAATCTTTTTTTTTTCATATGTAAGTATGTTGTGTATTATGTTGGATTGTGAAAGAAAACTATGTGACGTGGATATCTGGTCAACTGGTGCGTGATGCATGAGAAATGGTCAATGTAGATGAGCCCTATTTTATTTTTTGCCCACTTTTGCCGGGGTACATTACGAAGTCTTCTAGATTTTCTGAACGTTAAGGACCCGTAAACTTTGGAGCCTTCAAATCGTTAGTTCCTATCCAAAATAAATAATAGGAAATCGTCACTTTTTTTTGCCTTTGTTCGTGCTTGTTGAAGCAATATTCTTTCCTTTCAAATGACAAAAAAAAAAAAAAATAGTAATCCAATTGCTGATTAAATCTTTTTGGTGACCATAACATCGTAAGTAACTCGATTGTTAATTTTAATAATAATAACTATTACGTACTTCCAGACACCCCTGTATCAAAAAAAAAAAAAAATTATTACGTACTCCCAAAGTTGTTCTATATTGCAGAATTAATAGTATGTAATTATCATTCCAAGTAGCTTTAGGAAAGGGTTCAATAACATTTTTGGGTCATACTTATCCATTTATAAATATATATATATATAATTTTTTTTTTGGGTAGGGAAATACATATCCATATAGCCTTATAAGCTCTGTAAAAGGAAATATCTGATAGCGGTAAAATTATCCAAAACCCAAAAATAAAAACGAGAAGATATACTTGAAATTGACAGTGTCCTACTCGTTGAAGTTAAAAAAAAAAAAAAAAAAAAAAGACACAGCAGAAAAGAAACTTTCCAATGAAAAGAAAACAAATGGTTCCCTACAACTGAGCAGACAGACTACCCCACATTATCATCAGTACTCGTTTCAAGTGGCAACTCCCAATTGACCGGCGACCCTTCTCTGGCTTTCGCCTTCTTTGATTTTTCCATATAAATAGCCTATCTGCGTTCAAAGTCTTCTGCATATTTTCTCGTATCATGTCATATTAGTAATAGGGTGCCTTCCCCCCTTACTCCTTAATTCCTACGTCAAAAACCATCATTAACTTTCCACTTTTCATCATTCACCCCACATATATAGAGATATATATACATATCCAACGTTATATTCTTATATCCTTATCTCTCAATACTAACCTAGTGGGAGTTAAGGTCAGATAAAGTTCCCTGTTTCTCGAGAATCTTCATTGGCTTTTCGCATCTTACTTTCATGGTAAGTTTCACGCTTTCCTCCCTTTAATTCTATGCATTCTTTTTCTGTCTTCTTTTTTTTTTTTTTTTGGGGCTTATTGTTGGTAACAATATTTGCAGGCCAACGAAATTGACAACGTTCGGTATGAGGAGGTAATTATATTAATTTGCTCCGTCTCTATTAAGGATTGTTGTGAGCACTTTTTTTTGGGTTTGTTTAAGGATTTAACGAAGTATGCGTGAAGCATCTAATTGGGATTCTGAAATTTTGTTTCTTTTTGGTGCAGGAGTTCATATTGAATTCAAGAGGATTGAAGCTGTTTACGTGCAGATGGTTGCCTAAGCATTGTGAACCAAAAGCTTTGATTTTCTTGTGTCATGGTTATGCCATGGAATGCAGTATCTCCATGAAAGGTCAACCATTTTTCGACGTGCTCCTGAAACTTTCTTTTTCATTTTTGTTTTAACTGAAACATATAAGTTATAGCAGAACAGAGACGTTAACGTAATGATTTTCTTGTGGCTGCAACAGATGCTGGAATTCGGCTTGCAAAAGCAGGATTTGCTGTTCATGGGATTGACTATGAAGGCCATGGAAAGTCATCAGGAATCCCTGGTTATGTACCTGACTTTGACGGTCTTGTTAACGACTGCTCTGATCACTTCACCGATATCTGTGGTAAGAATGAAACAAATCCTCCGCTTCCTCTTTATCAGAGGGGGTTCCTATAGCTGAATCTCTCCTACTTTTCTTGCTTCTCATCTCCAAAGACCGTAAGAGGAGTGGTTGGTTGACTTTCTTGGCGTTTTGATTTTCATATGACAGAAAGGAAAGAAAACAGGAAGAAGATGAGAATATTACTGGGAGAATCAATGGGAGGAGCAGTGGCTCTCCTCTTACACAGGAAGAAGCCAGAGTATTGGGATGGTGCAGTTCTGGTGGCTCCAATGTGCAAGGTGAGTCACCCTCCACTGCCAATTGATTCCTTTTTCATGGCACTTTCTTTTTTAATGTTTGGACGCTGCTACGTGGAAGGGACAACATGACAAAGCAATATTGGACACTTTGATTATCTTCACACTGCATTTAATTTCTCCCAATGATTCTTTCTCCACCATTCAGTTCTATTATTGTTGTTGGTGGCTTACATTTTAACTGATTAGGCACTTTCTATGGTCCTATAGCCTATCTTGATAATTCCAGTTGGTAGGGCCATAAGTGTGATTCCATAGATGTTTGAAGGTCTTCATCTCACCAGTGGTTTCTTGCCTGCCCAAAGAAGACAAAGCATCTTTCTTTTCTTTTCTTTTCTTTTTTCCTTGCTTTCTAATAGTTCATAAAAAGGCTCCCTCTTTCAGTTCCTACCTCTAGCGTCAAAGTCAGAACAAATACTTGTATAGCTTCCCCCAGCCGGCAAGGGGCTCTGGGAGCCACCACTTTATTTTCTCAAGCCAAGCCACACGCAAGGCTACAAAATCTGATAACAACTGCACTTGAACTTGAAGAGCTAGAACAAATAAAGACTTTGTTTAAAATAAGTAGAAGCTAGAATATACTTCGGCTGCTTATAATAAAGACTTTTGTTTTTGCTTGGACTAACCTGATTTAACTGTGGAAATTAATTTGCAGATTGCGGACGAAATGAGGCCAAATCCTATGGTGACAACTGTTTTGACCAAGCTTTGCAAGTTCATTCCAACTTGGAAGATCATACCTACACAAGATGTTATTGACGCAGCCTTTAGACTTCCTCAAATTAGAGAGGAGGTAAAATTCTTGACGATCCCTTTAAAATTCTGAACGAAAGGCAAAAACAAAAAGAACAAACACGAGAATTCAAAATACTTGAAATTGATTACATGTTTTATTGACTGCAGATTAGGGCCAATCCATACTGCTACAAGGGACGGCCACGCCTAAAAACTGGCTATCATCTATTAACAGTCAGCATGGACTTGGAGAAAAGACTTCAAGAGGTCAGTTATCGAACAAATCAACATATATATATCTTTGTACAGGGGAATCATCAGGGCTCTGATTCAAAGTCATTCCATTGCATTGAACAGGTTTCGCTGCCATTTTTAGTCCTTCACGGTGAAGATGATAAAGTAACCGATCCATCTGTTAGCAGATTGTTGTTCGAGACAGCTTCTAGCTCAGACAAGACCTTCAAGTTGTATCAGGGGATGTGGCATGCCCTGACTTATGGGGAGCTGCCAGAGAACATCAATATAGTATTTTCAGATGTAATCAACTGGTTAGATGAGAGAACATCTGTGGGTAATTCTAGGCTGGAAATTCAACAAAAACTGGCAAATGACGTTTTGGCAGAAGCAAAGACTGAAGTTTGTGCCTAGTTAAAAAAAACAAATGAGAGTGAAGTTTGTGCGTAGGATAAACTAGTATGTAACAGCAAGAAGCTTGTGAAAAAGGCAAATATGTATCTCAATTAATTTATTTTTCAGAAGTAAATAAAAGCTATAGCTTTTGCTCCAAGTTGTCACATTCACTGAACAGATAATTTGTTCAAAGGGGACTGCTCCAAAATAAACACCATGTAGACTTTAGCTTACAAATATGGCGTCATCATGCCTTTAGAATAGAGGGGGAAGGTTCTTGATGATTTTGACTTTTTTTTAAGTTCATCATGGAAGCCAGGCATTTGCTATTTTGACATGAAAAAAATTTTTTTTTTTTTTTGAGGACCTTTCTTTAGTTTGATTTATCGGTCGCAATGACTCCCAAGAGTTTTTTTTTTCTTTAAAAAAATAGAAAAAATGGAAGAGAAACCACTTGAGCAGCTAAAGTACAGAACATGTATTAACCACAGTAGATTATGATTTGAAGTAGTTGGATTTTTTTTTACCGGTTGACATTTTCGGTGGATCAACTACTACCTCCAATCTCGAGTTATTTTATCATTTTGTTTCTTCTTATTCTAATACTTTTGAGTTATTGTGTCGGTCTCCTATAATTAATAATCCCAGGCCTTGTCCCAATAGTTGAGAAAGGCATCTTAAGGAATGTTTTGGAAGACGCAATGAAGCTAGTAGCATGCACCCAAAAACTTCACTAATAATACTACCTGAGCTGAGCGATCGTGAGAGCCGTTTACATAATACTGCAAATAGCACTGGAAAGATGTAGCATTATCATGGTAGGTAGGTACAGCACAGTTGCTACAAGTCGCAGCTTGAAAAGGAAAGACTGATTAAAGTCGTGCAAAGTTTTCACTTCCACCCATGAACTGAAACTACGCCGTTGGAAGCTGAAACGTGATATTATTATTATTTACTTCAGGAATTCTCAAGGACCACTGAGCTGGTCACCTCATTTGCACAATCCCCCTCCTTGAGAAAAAAGGAAAAGCTTAGGCTAACCGAAGACAGTCAAATATACATTGAGCAATTCTTTCTTCCTTATCCATCATCTAACGTAATCCTAGGCAAGAAGTACTCATGATCCTTGTACAAGTACAAGCACATTCCAGATTTGCAGCTTATAGGGCATACTATAATCACACTACATTGCAGATATATCAGAAAACATTATTATTAGTAGCTCTGTCTTGGTTTGACAATAGTCAATGGTATGCAATGCAAATCGAACAAGAAAGCATGTTCTGTCCTTTCATCTCCAAATCACGCTGAGGAGTACATTACAGCCCAAAAAATATACATCCTGCACTTCCATTCTTCACCAGAATGACAAAAAAAAAAAAAAAAAACTTGGCAACTGACTCATAAAGTCAATATTTTGCATGACAAGTGCTTAGAAGCTCAAAACGCTCTATTATTAACTCCAAGTGTCAGAAAGCAGAACAAAGGTAAAGTACCTCTGTGTTGTATGCCTGAGAAATACAAGAAATAAATCGATGCCCCTTGTCGTAATCTTAATATCAGCACAGCCTCAAATGCTGTGCGGAATGTCCTCTGAAACAGATTGGTAACCTTCATCTTTCATCAGCTTGATCAATCTCCATAGCTCTCTTTTTATTTTTTCAATTTGAGGATGTAACAAGTCTCCAACAACAAAAACGTGAACTTGATTCTTGAGCTCAATCCAACTACAACCTGGCTCCTTACTTACCCCTCTGAAGTTCATCATCCTCCTAACACGTTCGACTTCATTCAATCTTCCCAAAGCCGAATAGATGCTCGACAACAAGACATAAGTGGATGACTCTTGAGAGCCCAACTCCATTAACTTTTCTCCTGCGTAGGCTCCCAATTCATAGTTGCGATAATTTCGACAAGCACTTAACAAAATACGCCACAAGGCTAGGCCATGATCAATATTTGCTGACTCAATAAATTCTTTCGCTTCATTAAGCCTTCCAGCACGACCTAAGATATCAACCATGCATGCATAGTGATCCACCCCCGGCATTAGACCAAATTCATCAAACATCATGCGAAAATAACCCCAACCTTCGTCTACCAAACCCATGTGGCTACAGGCAGAAAGAACGTTGACAAAAGTAACATAATCAGGCTCGGTCCCCTCCATTCGCATCTCTTCAAAAAGTTCAAGTGCTTCAGCACCACGGCCATTCTGTGAATGACCAGAAATCATTGCATTCCACGACACTACATCTCTGGCAGGCATCCTCCAAAAGACAATATTCCCATCCTCAAGATTCCCGCACTTTGCATACATAGTTGCAAGAGCACTTCCAATAGGAACTTCAAGACTAAATCCATACTTGACTGACTGGGCATGCATCTGCTTTCCCTGCTCCAAAGCAGCAAGGCCAGAGCAAGCTTTCAAAATACTGGCCATGGTCAACTCATTGGGAACAATATTCTTCATTTGCATTTGACAATACAAGTTAATAGCACTCTCGCTATCCCCATTTTGAACATAACCACCTATCATGGAAGTCCACAACACAATATCTGGCTCCTGTAAACACTCAAACCCCTTCTGCGCATCCTCAATGTTACCACATTTAGCATACATGTCAACCAAAGCTGTCATGATATACATATGAGATTCGTATCCCAACGTCAACAAATACCCATGCACCTGCTTCCCATGGCAAGCAGCCTCGACATCACTGCAAGCATTGAGCACCCCAACAAGAGTGTACTCACTAGGTTTCATCCCGTAAAAATGCATATCTGAGAACAACTTTAATGCCTTGTCACCATTTCCAGTTTGCGCGTAACCTGTAATCATTGCAGACCAAGTAATAGAATTCTTATCGCTTGAAAACTTGAATGCCAGAACAGCATCATCCAAACTCCCACACTTTGCATACATGGTAACAATGGCATTATCAACAGAAACAATTGAAAACAAATCCAATTTAACAGAAAGACCATGGATTTGCTTCCCTATATCAATAAACTCTGGCAATGTAAAAGCACTAAGAACACTAGTAAACGCAAATTCATTCAAGTCCTCTGTCTGTCCCCCACTGAAAAGAAGTTTAAAAACTTCACATGCCTCCTTAGCAAGTCTCTGTGTTGCATATCCAGAAATCATTGTAGCCCACGAAACTGAATTTCTTTTAGGCATTTCATCAAACAGTTTTCGGGCCTCTTCAACAATGCCTAGTTTACAATACATATTCAATAAAGAACTATTGACAAAAACATCCGAATTATCGGCTGCTTTGACGACAAGGACATGGACTTGTTTTCCAACAATTGGGTTCTCTAGAATCGACAATGCAGTAAAAATGCCAGAAAAGGTGTGGGGATCGGGAAGAAAATTGCGGTGCCTCATTTGTATGAATAGTTTGAGGACTGAAAGAGAAGAGTCTCGACTGCCCAGTTGAGAGTAGCCATTGATGAGACAGTTCCAGGAAACCACATCTTTGTTTTGGATTTCTTGGAAGACGAGATAGGCTTCCTGCAAACGATGACATTTTGAGTAGAAGTTGACGAGGTTATTGGCAAGGAAGGTGCAAGAGGAGGAGATGCCAGCTTTGATCAGATGGGCGTGGAGGTATTGGCCTATTCGGAGGTTTCTTTGTAGCGTGCAATCGAGAAGTTTGCTGAAGAAGACGCGGGAGTTATGGGTCAGGGCTGCAGCATGATTCATAAGTGGGAGAGGGTTCGAGTTGCAGCAGCTGTTCAGGTCCCGGTGGAAAATTGGACAGCAGTCACAGCACCGGAGAATATATAAGCAGCACGCTCTGTTTTTAAGAACGTAAATCAATTTTTACACTCTCAACCAGCAAACATCCGATGTTGCTGCGGCTTTGTCCGTATATAGGTGCACATAAACAAATTGGCACCAAAACATACATAAGATCAAGAAGCACCAAAATTGCTTCAATATGATGATATTTAGTCCAAGTTAATGCATGGTGCGGCTCACAAAACACCTTTAACGCATTGATACATGCAGAGAGATTCGAAGACAGAGACACAGAGGGAGAAATTTCTTCGTTAGCAAAACGTCCTAAATCATAATACCTTTTTTTTACTAAACAACAAACTAAGTATATTCAGCTACAAGATAATTACAACGAAAAGATCTGAAAACATTACAAGTAATTTGCCACTAAGGTTTCTTCTGATACAGGCAACTTTCCCAAGAAACGAAAGCAAATTTTTTCCACAGCAGCCATTCTCCTGTGAGATGAATGCTTTTCTTCCACCTTGCTGAATATTAGGGATATTTGCTTCAACAGGCACCATCATCATAATCAACCTTCACGCTGGTAAACCACCCTCATCCCGAACTAACATCCAAAGCCTTGACCTACCCACACAAACCAACAAAGTGATGAGAGAAGAACTCCAAGCTAAACAGGTATATAGCAGTAAAAAGCATACTATTAAGTTCTTTCTATTTTTCTCAATTGCCAGATTTTCTTGTTTCCAATTCCTATATCTGTGGCCTATAGGTGAAGTTCCCAACAAAAAGTCAAAATCTGCACATACAACACAGAAGCAATATGTTGTTTTTTTCACCGACCAACATATTACTTGATTATTGAATCAAGGCATATTTTACCAACACCATTCTGAAAAAATTAAAAAAATTTCCATCCCTAACTGCAGCTAGCTATAATTCAAAAACCTATCAACAAGTTTTCTCTTGAGAGCACATCTCGCATAATATTCATGCATCATCTTAATCAGTTGTTCATTCTTTTCATAAATCCTGGCCTATAAACCACCAAAGTTATCCTGTCTTCCAAAGGACCTAAGAAGACGGACTCTACATGGAATTTAAACTGATTCCAACATAAACAAACGATCTTTCTGCAAAACAACTCCCAACAGTTTTCACTTGAAGGCAAGCAGGACTTTACAAGTTACAAGAGTGCATTTACTCAACCTTGGAAAAAAAAGGGAGAGACGGTGATAACTGCAAATAGGTAATTGGATCACCGGATCTACATATCAAGTACATTGAGTTCATGCAAAAGTGGATCCTCTGTGAAAGGAATAAATGTTCTTTCACCTTTCATCTGGTTATAAGCTCAAATTATCTTGTTCCTTATTTCTTCTAGCTTTTTTAGAATCTCTGCTGGTGTCCTATCCAGTTCATCAGCAATTTTCCGCTGCATGTCCACCGGCAACGTGGGAAATTGCTCACACAAATCTCCATCAATTACGTCCTGCAAAATAGTTTAGACCTCTACAGTCATTAAGGAACATCTCAAAAGAAAAGAGTAAAACTCCACGCAATTTTTGCTTTAAGTTACTAAGATGACAAACCTAGCATAATCCAATATTTATAAGGAAACAAGGACAACTGCAATAAGGAAGTGATAAATCAAGGGTCCAGCAAACAACACCATCTTTTGAAGAAATGCCATCCCACTTATAGAATAGCATCAGCTGATCAGCTCTGTGTTTTCATTGCTTAGCTCGCATGCAAAGAGAGCATTTCATGAAGGGCTCTTTCACTAGCCAAATGCATCAATGTGACAGGAAGTAACCTTGTGATGCTGGATAATAACTATTGTTACTGTTGTAGTTCCTCAAGACTACAAGATTTTATCTTGATTAAAATAGTTAAATATATATGCATGATGCGTTTATGAATTTATTCAGTGTCCTTATTTCATGAAGCAGAAACAGTGAAGTACTAAGTCCTCCATGATAGGCAGGCAAGTCGTACAAAATGTCATTCTGAGCTGTGCTAAGACCCCAAGGCCCACTCCTTAACAGAACAAGAATGAAATTACACTCCAGATAACCCAGAATATTTTGGAAGCTATAATGCATGAGGTTATGAAAACAACAAAGACTTTACCTTAACTGGAAAATAGGCAGATCTATAGGCCATATGATCTCTACCACATAGAGGTGGATGTTCCTGCCTCAGATGCATCTCCAAGTGAGAGAAGAAGTCAACATCATCTCGGGAGGTGAATGGAAGCAGTGCCCCTACACTCCCCATGACAGTCCCGTAAACAAGGCCCTCTCCACCGCCCGGGATTAGAGATGCCTTCTGCAAGCAAGTGACCACATCACCAACATGGAACTGTATGATTTCTTCAACCTTGTTGGGAGCACCATTCAGTTTTCCTTGCTCCCACTTTATCTTCCCACCTGTTGGGTCTTCTTCAATCTCATCTGATACGTCTTGGGGTAACCGCACAAAATAGAGATTGCCGAACTTGTCAGAACCTGCCATGGTATCAAAGTCTACGTGGGTTGCTGCAGTTAGCCATCTTGGAACAGTGTCATCAGCAAATATATATAGTTGATTTTCATCACGCCTATACTTGCAATAGTGGAATGACTGTAAAAGAACACCCATGTGCACAACATAGTCAGTGCAGAACAAGTTAAACCATAAAGAATATATCTAACTCCAAAGAAACTTTTAAGTGATGATAACAACCATAGCTCAAACTATAAACACTCTGCCAAAAAAAAAATAATGGATTGAATCCACAACAATTTGGCAATAATGATACTCCCTGCATCTCATTTTATTAGTCATGATATCTATTTTTGAATACCCCAAATTGTATATATATATATAGAGAGAGAGAGAGAGAGAGAGCATCAAATTTTACCATTCATGAACTCCCAGAATAGAGCATTAAATACAAGTTTGAAGGCAAATATGATAACAAACCGTATAAAACTTATAACTTCAAGAGCAACTTATGAACTGTGAATTTAAATTGAGGGCAATCATGGAAAGAGTGAAGAGAAAGTATTACAAATTATTCCGTAATGTTCTCTGAAACTTCAGTATGGCTGGTAATTAACTCCTCAAGGTGAAACTCATACACTGTTTCTATCTCTTTTGCCTCTACTTCCTTCCTCTAACGTCCCTTTCTTCTAATTTATTTGCCTTATACATTTAGGTTTTCTTGGCTTTTCAATTTTTTTTTTTCGGGGACGGCATTGTTGGGTGGGTGTTTACACTAATCCCCCTTTTCTCAACCGAATCATTAGCAAAAAATCATTACAACTACAATTTCTAATAGCAGCCAGCCAAGACCATTTGCTAGGTCCTGCAATCTCTAGGCTGTTGGCCAACCATTTTGGACTGAAGATTCAATGACATAAAAAGTGAATAAAACAGAGAGATTGCCTCAAAACATTGCTATATCCACAGAGTAATTTGAGTTCAAATGAAAAATAGTACCAGAATTAAGAAAATCTTTGTGAGAAATGTTTTGTTCCTCATTTAGAAATTAGTGTCTACTCTCCTTATTCTTAATTTAACTCCAGTCAAGAGACATACATGAAATACCCAAGCTCATTCCAGTTTGCAGGTAATAGCTCATTCTACATTTTTGTCTCCTATTGCACATTTTTGAAATTTATATCATCCAAGGCAAAAACAACACTTACAAAAAAAGCAAAAGTGGTTCATATTAACTCATCCTCTCTTTCTTGCACATCCTCTCTTTCTTGCACCATTCACATCACACCAAGCAAAAGAGATGGCCTTCCGGGACCCCCAAAAAAAAGGCTTTTCTCTTTTGCATAAACACTTCATATAGCAGACATGTTATCCCTGATAAGACTTTTTATTGGAACTCAAGCATGTGTAGATGCATTTATAATTTGTTCAAATGGCTTCAAAAATGTTGGAAAACAACATAGAAAACTGAAAGCACTTTGAAACTGTACCTCTTGAATATCACCAACATAAATCCGATCACGATATGTATGGATAGATGTTATGGTATTGGGAAACAACTTGTTTTCACATTTCCTCAGTAATCTTCTCTTCCCCAAATCATACAATCTTAGTACAGACCCAATTCCAGCAAGCAGCCTTCCTTGGAACTGGCATAGTGCAAGTGGGATACCTTCTACTTGTGTCTTATGCAAAAGTTCAAGAACCTTCCCATCTTCCTTAAACCTATATATATGAATATAGCCAGCATCAAAAGACCTTTTGGGCCAATACTGAAGGCCCTTTGCAGTACCAACAGCTAAAAGAGTCCCATATTCTTTATCATGAAAATTTACAGTGCAGATGCTGAATGCAGCTTCGTTATCCTGAAGCTCCAGCAGACAGGTTGTCTGGGTGGTCCTAGGATCAAGAACTCTGATGCAAGATACCCATCTCTCAGACTCTGCCTTCGGATAACCATACTGCTCATCGGAGAGCGGATCATTATTTTCCTCATCCTCACCACCATTCTCCATTTGCTCAGCATTTCCATTTTCTCCTATTCCAGCAGCGTCAAAACACTCTTTTTTTGATGCTTCACGCTCCTCTGCAGTAAATGCTCCCTGATCACTTTCTATAATTATCAATGACTTCCGCTTGGGTTGAACCACAAATTTTCTTGGAGTATACCTCAGAGGAATAGCTGTTTCATTGAAGGTCTCTCCCAATCTCTCAATAGTAAAAACCCGTAAGGCATCCCCAGCAACAGCAACTACACCTTCTGCACACTGATCAGATGAAAATGAGGCTGCATACTCGAGAGTTTCATAGGATAGAGGTGTTAACAGGAAATGCCCCTGGTGTATATAACCAAGCCAGGGTCTACTTGATAAGCAAAGCATAGCACGCCGTCCTCGCACGATAATAGAAAATAGCTTGGGTGCTCTAAGTCCTAAGAATCGGGAGCGTGCATCCGAGACCTGACCTGTCACCATATCAACCACTGTTCTGAATAGAACACCATTTTGCAAACCAGCATTAAGGAACAGGTTAGCAGGGTGATCTGCACCATCCTCTCCACCAAAAGAAGCCTGAACTTCAAGAAACAGGAGAGATTCTGGAGGTGAAGAAACACTTTGTAGGCTGAGAATCTGCATGCAGTCATCAGGATCCAAGGATAGAATACGAATAGTATTGTCATATGACCCAACTGCAAGGAAGCGTGATCTCTGTCTCCCTTCGGGTACAGGAGCAATGTCCAAACAAGCAACATCTCCAGACATTTCATGCTTCTCAACCTCCATCAGCTGGCCAGTCATATCCACCTCAAAGTAAATAAGCTCCCCACCATTGAGGGCAATGACCACTTGAAGTCTATTAGACCCAACCTTGGCAATTGTTCTCTTCCCTGGTGTTCTCCACTCATTTATACGCCCATCTTCTCTAATGTGCCTAATACCACTGGGATGAACTTGCATTAAAGAATCATCACCAATCAAAGAAACCGCAAGAGAAGGTGTAGTATCAAGAAACCCACTATCACTAACTTCTTCTACTGTCTCACCAATCGAAAGGACAAGAGTTGCATTAGCAAATGAGACAACAATGTAAGCATCAAATTCATCATTGACATTCTTTTTCACCGTCCAAACTGCACTTGGGACACCAGGAAGCTGTGACACAGCCATTTCACTGATAGCCAACCCTGGTCTTAATATTCGTAGAGTTGAACGAGGACCACGTCCACAAAGTGAAAAAATCTGGGGAGTTTCTTCCTCGAAAAGGTTTATGACTTTCATATCCATTATTGGCATCAAACTCTCAACTTGGTCAATTCTAAGCAGGTTTTTCAGCTTCCTTGGCTGGAAAAAAACAGGCTGAAAACCTTCTTCCGTTTCCATCAGAGTGGCAGATGAGGCTTCCACATCTGGATCATCTCCTATTGCCTGAAACTGATATAAAGCATGATTTCCAAACTCTGAAGCAGCAAACAGAAATCCCGACTTCAAAACACACAATGACGATGTGACTGGAATGGTATCAAAATACTTGATCTTCAACTCCTTAACCCTGTCATTGTCATGATCCAAAGTAACCTTAAAAATATCCCCATACTCAGTTTGCAATAAGAAGAAAAACATTGACTTCTGCTTATGCATGGCAGCAGAAACTATCAAGACCCCACGCTCTGCTGGCAAATCTGCTCGCCTAGGAATCACAGCACGTACATCTGGGTGACCCTGATTCTTATAGATAACAAAATTCTCAGCACAAACAAGCACCCCACTGGGGCCATCCCCACCTCCAGGAACAGTGACAAGCATATTGGCACCATTATCAACCTGGTCTGACCATTTCCTGGAAACATGATTAAGCCCTAAATCCAACTCATAAAAGGTCAAATGCTTTTGCGCCTCACTTGCAGCCACACCAGTCGGGTCCTGGTCAGCCTCTGAATAATCCAGCTCAATTGCAGCAAATATGGGGTTATCAAAACCACAGTCAACGCCACATATCGAGTAAGTTATGGTATGACTCTTATGAGCCTCTAAGGGAGAGGAGATGGTTAACCTAGTAGCCGTATCCCTATTCAAAACATACACTAATTTCTGCTTTTCACAGGCACCAATCATCGCAGCCCTACCTTTCGGGTCAATAGCCAAGTACTGGCCGGGCACAATCCTCCGACAACCCGATTTACCAAAAGTTTCCTGGTGGATTTTGTCAAAATAGTTCTTTTCTTTGTTATATTCTAGAATCACAACCCTGCCGGAATCAGACCCGACAACAATGTAGTCTTTCTGGGCACCAGTTAAGCGAAACTGAGCTAAAGAACGAATAACTCCAAAGATTTCTACGGAGAGTAAGGTTTGGAGCTTACCATTGTCGTCGGGACGAAGGAGATCGAGAATTTTGCCGCGGGCCACAACAATTTCTTGAGATTTGCCACCGGAGAAGCTACCGTTGATTGCACAAGCCATACCGGTAGCTCTCTGGAGAGTGAGGCTGTAGAGAAACATGGTGCAGATGTAGCTAAAACCCTAGCAGGAGTGAAGTATGAGAGGAAGTTTTGGAGAAGAATACTCAAGCTTTAGGAGTAGAAGAAGTTCGAAAAACTTTGGCAACAAATAAGTACGACCTTTTTTTTAGGTAGAAAAAACTTGAAGGAATTTATCCTCAAGATTTGAGAAAGAGAGGGAAGAAGAAGAAGAAGAAGAGGAGAGGAGGGAGATGAGGGGGACGGAGCAGGGTTTTGGGGCTGACGGAAATGCAATTGATTCGGTTTTAATTTCGTTTGTGCCCTCCAAAATTTGCCCATTTGGGGAAGTGACCAAATGCTCTGTTGACTAAAATAATTACTTCTTGTAACTCTGTAATCTACCCAGTGCTAAAGCCAAAAAAAAAAAAAAAAAGGAGATTTATCGGTTTTGATGTATTCTATTAGTTTTTTATTTAAAAATTAAAACTTTTTCTTTTCACCTATTTTCCTCTATCAGTCAAAATTTTGCACCAATCAGGCTTCAAATAAGGAATCATAATCGTTCAGTGTTTCCAATTATGGGCAATTCTTTACCACACAATCTTCTTGTAATCTCAGACCTAAACCATTAATATTTATGGAAAATTCCTTAAAGTGTTTCTATCTCTTAATAACTATTTTTGAGGTCTAAAAATTAGAAATTTTGAGTTTAAATCTCACTTAAATTCATCACATTTTGAGTTTTTTGATTATTTATTTAATATTATACTCTAATTTACTGTAAAAATCGTAAAAGAAATATTTAAAATGAAAAAACTTCTTTTTTCTTTTTTTCCTTCTTCTTTTTCTTTCTTTCTTTTTTTTTTTTTCCTCTCTTATTCTTCACCCTTCCCCCTCCCCCTCTCCCTCCCCCCTCCATAGGTGACAGTTGCAGCAGCAGAAGCAAAATTATTATTATTATTATTTTTGCTTTCTTCTCTCTTTATTTCTCTTCTTCCTCTCCCTCTTCTCCTTTCCCCTTCTCCTTTTCCCTTCCCTCCCCTCTCTCTCCCCCACCACCTCTCTTCCTCCGGAAAAAGGAAAGGGTGAGGAGGCAAAAAAAAAAAAAAAACTTCTCTCTACTAGCGCCGAAAAAGGTGACGGTCGGTAGTGGTGGGGTGAGAGAAAAAGAAGAAAAAGGAAGAAAGGAAATTTATTTGTGTATTTTTTGGTATTTTGAAATGTATAATTTAAAAATTTTGAAAAATTATTTTTAGATTACTGTAATTAAAATTATTTAAAAAATCTAGTACGAGACAAACATGGAAAAAAACTCATTTGTCAAACAAGCCCGTTGGTTTTACAACTTTGTCCTTTAAGCACGATCCAAATGGAATGTGGATTTGTTGGCTACACAGCAGCTACGTTAACTGCCCAATTCAAAATTGAAACTACTACCATTTAAAACCAATCATAGAGCAAACAAGCACGAAGCAACAAACAGCTCCGCATGGCGATGGTCAACCATCCTTCCTCAGTAACCATAGCATGGTTCCTCTTGTTCTTGACCATAATCCACCAATCATTTTCTGCTCGAACTTTAGGTAACTCATCACAGGGCAATGGCGATCATCACGCCAACCTAGCAATCAGCTTCTCCATGCCAGATGTGCTGAGCCAGAAACATCCCTCGTCCAGGCCAGTAACAACTCAAGTAAATGGTCAAATTCCCTTCTCCAAACCACTAGGCTTTTTTCCACCTATTGGAGGCATTCCCTTGGCTAATATTGATACCATCCCGATGACTGGATTGCCATCTCAAACCATCGATTTAGAAGGAATCAGCATGTCATTTCCAGCCATCGCGACTGTTCAAGAATTGGAGCTGGGAACTGTGACAACAATTAATGAGGACATATATGAAGGATTCGTATTTGGTTCGTCGTTGCTTGGCAAAGCACAAGGGATTTATGTTGCTAGCTCAGAACATGGAAGCAGTCATATGATGGCGATGACAGCAAGTTTTATAGGTAACAAGTACAAGAATGCCTTGAGAATTTTTGGGGTGCACAGGTCCGATGTTAATGAATCACACGTTGCAGTTATTGGTGGCACCGGGAAGTATCAAAATGCTAATGGATTTGCAACAGTCAAGACTGCGAATATCAGCTCCAGCTTGAAGGGTGAAGAGAGTGAAGAAGCGTACAAGCTCCTGCTGTTCAATGTTTATCTTGGTTAGGCGGCTTGATCTATCTACTCAATGCCCTGTTAAAGAGTCATATATTGTAACTCAATTAGTCTTCTTAGACCCTTTGTGAGGAAGGAAAGCAATTGATTGTCATGAATTATTGTGGCATGAGAAAGCTTCTAATCATTGATTTGGCGGAGATGTAACCTGCAATCCAGTCATGTAGAATTACTATCTCATAATGAACGTGGAGTTGTAATATTCATCAAGAATTAGTATCAGATAATAATTATGTAATCAAGATCTTTATCCTGACAAACAATCTGCCCACGAAAGTTGAGTGGAAGAAGTCCGTGTATGGTGTATGACACGAGGCAACATAATTGACCCGTGAGTTGTTGAAGATAAATGGTTTGACAAGCCAGAAAAATGAAACCTGCTTTAAGCAGCTGCATCTGGTGAGATTGAGGAACATTCAGGAGTCGCACATTCTAATGAAATACAAACTTAAGTTCAATCCCAGAGAGGAGAAAAAAAAGAGGGGGGGTGGGGTCTTAAATTAGAGACTTTAGGATACTATGCTTTCTGTTAAGTCCAGTATTATTTGGTTAAACATGGATACCATCAGCATAATTCCATACCCTCTGTAGGGACTTGATCAATGGGACGTGACAATTCTTGTTCGTCTTGGGTGCATGGTTCAAAGTCGCGGTCGCGGCCTAGACCGTTCCATATCGATTTTGATATATCGGTCGCGGTTTTAGCGAGACGGGAATTTTTGAAATATTTAATATTCTAAAAATTATAAAAAATATGATAAATAAAAATAATTAAAAATTAGTAAAAATAATAAAAATTCGAGTTGATTCGAGATGATTCGGAGTGACTCGGTCGTTTCAACCCTTCACGATGACGTCTCGGTGAGTCAAATATCTCGATATCGTTTCGTCGCGGTCTCGTCTCGGACTGCGAGTCTTCGAACCATGCTTGGGTGGGTGTTATTTCCAAGCTTAAAGGCGAATTCCTAAGCTTGAAAATTGAAATGATTTAGGAGCTCATGCCAGTAAAATTTGCTCTAACAACTGTGTTACGAATCCCCATTTGAATTGTTATTTTTAAGAATTTCTGTAGAAAAATATATTGTAGCAATTTAACGTGTGCGAGATAAAAAAATAAAAAGAATTGAAAATTGCGCTCACAAGAAGCTTAAAAATTTTTTGTGGAAAACCACAATCCAACCTCTCCTAAGTCTAATTGAGGCAGAGCACGGATTACTTAGCAGGGCGACTATCACAACTAAAAGAATCTTAATCAATTTCCCTCTCCTCTTCTAATACAGGTCTGTAGCTTTTCCATTTGCAATATAAGGAGCTCGATCCATGGCCTTACACCTAAAGCGCCGCAACCAAACTTGTGCTTTGCAAATCTGGGTCTTTGGAAGATACCTGCAGTTCGTATAATTAACTAGTAATTGAATAATTATGACCCAAAGGCATTCTACAAGTTTGTCAGTTTTTCTGCAGTTCTTCCGCCTCGAGCCGCTGCACAATCTGCATCGAACATCAAAGTTTTGTTGTACCTTATCAAACTGTAAATTTTCAGGGGAGATTTTCACTGCAATGACAAATCATCAGAAAAAGCATATTTTTACGGTCTCTTTAAAGCGTCTGATTTTAACCAAATCATCATCTGACAAACAATTAAACATGCTCAGTACAAGATTTTAAGCCATCTTCACCCTTTCTGAATTAACAAAGTTACGATCTCTTCTTGACCTCAATGTGCTATGGAGATTAGATTGAAGTCTCTTTTCTCTACAGTACACTTAATGGTGACAAAGCAACATTTAAGCGTAATACAAAATTGCATTATAGTTGCCTTTTTAAAGTTTTTCACAACCAATCCAAATAGCCAAAGCCTTTATCTTGATGAGTTAGGTTGGTAACTAACATGCATGTACCAACTCCGTCTAATCAGCTCCACTTATTTCAGAGAATTTTTGAAGCTATATATACATGTATATATCGATTCGGCCTCAATCCTTTCACCATCAAACAACCATCCTTCCACTTCTTAAACTGATCTTCTCTGAAGTCTGAACTAATCATTTTCACACCCCAAATGGCCAAACTTTTTCACTCAAGTTCTAAAAGACTTGCAGTCACCATTTGCTTATCCCTCCTTGCCATCTCCCTCGGGCATGCTAACTCTGCCAGAATCCTCGATGAAGTGAGCCCGCAAACCCCATTCCCTGCCACCGTACCTGATGCATCAGATCCTACAGAAACAGATGTCCCTGATGTGGCACCTGTACCTGTGGTGGCCCCTGACACCACATTGCCCAGCGGCCAAACCCCAGCCACCCCCAATACCAATCCCGTTACAAATGCAGCACCAATTGCTGGCCCTGCTGTTCCATTACCAACAGGACCAGCTTCAGTCACCGCCCCCGGTGGCACCGTTTCCCCAGTTGCCAATGCGCCTAACACTGTCGCAGCCCCTGGCACCAATGTGGCACCTGTAGCCACCCCAGCCATCACAACTCAAGCTGGTGCTTCAAATCCAGATCACCCTACATTATCCTTCTTTATGCATGATATTCTTGGTGGCTCACACCCTTCGGGCAGAGTGGTCACTGGTGTCGCGGCCAATACTGCTGCCAATGGACTACCATTCTCCAAGCCCAACAATCAAGTCTTCCCCATCAATGGCGGTGTTCCACTCAACACCATCAACGGCGTCATCAATAACAACAACTATCCCTTCCTTGTAGGCCTCAACGGTTCTCCAACGAACACAATCATCTCAAACAACAATGGTGGCAACAATGTAAATGGTGGCAACAACCAACCCTTTGTTACAGCAGGACAGCTTCCGGCAGGCCTAACTATCCAGCAGCTCATGTTCGGCTCAGTCACCGTGGTGGACAATCAAATAACTGAAGGGCACGAGCTTGGAACAGCCGTGCTTGGCAGCGCCCAAGGATTTTACTTGGCTAGCTCTAGGGATGGTACCAGCCACACTCTAGCCTTGACTGCATTATTCCATGACCATAACGGAGACCATGAAATTGTGGACTCTGTTAGTTTCTTTGGAGTTCACAGGACAGCTACACCTATATCGCACCTTGCAATCATTGGAGGGACTGGAAAGTATGAGAATGCAAAAGGCTATGCCACCATTGAGACTGACCTTCACCACGAGGATCAGCACACAACTGATGGTGTTGAAACCATTACTCAGTTCACTGTCTACCTCACTCCATAGACGTAATTGTTTCTTCTTGGATTGTTGAATTGTTTCTGAATTTGCAGTTTACACTTGGATGTACCTCTGGATTATGAAATGGAATTGTTACTCGTAATTTGATGCTATGATGAGTTTGTAAAAAAGTTCACTTTCTTTTTTATAACCCCATTCTAAAATTTCTTATTCGTGTGACTAGAAATACTCAGAACTGAATTTGCGTTTTCTTCTTCCTTTTTCTTTGTCCCTTAGAAATTGTGGAATCCAATTTTACTTCATAGTGAAAAACTTAAAATCTGATCTTTCGTGAACCTGTAAAGCTTTTTTAGAATATTGTTCGACTGCCTCAAGGGAGCAATTTGAGACTATCAATGGATTCTGGGCAAAGTATGATAATTCCGGGGTTAGCATGGGGAGATGGAAATTAGTATGTTTTCCACAATTATAGACCCCATTTATGTCTACAGACTACAGACTCATTTACAAATTAGACGAAGAGGAGAAGGGACCGGTCCCCGGGGGGAGAGGAGGGGAGGAAGAACAGGCGATGTGATATTGTTCATAAAACAAAATTGGAACATTAGCCAAATTTTTGGAAAAAATATTGCATGCAGTTAAAAGAGATTCGACATTAAAATGCTTTCAAGCCTCCATTCCTGTAGTAATCATTGCATTGTTCAACTGTACAAAGAGATCCTAAATTCAAATGTACAAAAGGATATATTTTCCTTTCAAATCTCACAATATCACTCCCCGCTACACACTCTAAAACTTAAGCTAGAGTATGGAAGCTTTCATTCTGCTTCCTTCCTCGGCTTACCTTCAAGTTTCTCTTCAAATTTAACATTTACCAAAATTGCAGATATGACACATCTAAGAGCAAATGCCAAACTCAAAGCAAAGAATCAGCAATAAGTAAACAAAAACAAAGAAAAACCCTCAGCTATGGACTCTCACTGCTACAAAACTCTGCTGCAAGCTCATCGATTAAGTATTCTACTATTTCTCTACAAATGATACTAATATCACCTTCCAACTCCATCCACTTCATTTCACCGCCAAGCACTTTATCACCCAAGTCCTTCCTGACCTCCTTATCCTGGCTGAGTAACATCCACAAGTCTTCCTCTATATCATCCCTGCTCAAATTGGAGCTTAACCTTCTTCGTAGAGGCTTTCTTGACATGCAAAAATCCATGCATGAATCTAGAATATCCCTCAACCGAGAGTTTATGAGGTCAAATAAAAGCCTCCTCTCTGACTTCGCCCATGATGTCTGCTTCCCATATTTCTTCTCCAATGCCTCAAAAACTGAGGGGCTCACCGGAGATTCTCTGCCATGCCATATAGCCAGATCCATACCAAACAAATTGTCCTCATCCAAGACATCAACTAGGTACGAAAAGTCCCTGCTTTCTTCAGGTCTTGACATTCCCCACAGCTTTCCGTTATCACGGGAAAGATCAACGGATTCTTTTTCAGTATCTTCATCACTTGACACTGCCATTCCAGATCCTTCGGAGTTTGTTTCTTCCGATTTGGGATTGAGAAGGTGTAGCTTTAGTGCAAGACCTAGAGAAATTACAGATAACAACAGTTATATCAAATATAAGTTGTGCAAAATTTAAATCATAGCGTTTACTTCACTTACCACTGAGATCAGAAATCGAACTTTTAAAGATTTCAGAGTCAGGAGGATTCTCTTCCTTAAAAAGAGGTTCCAATACAGAATCTGGACTAGGCTGGTTGATCTCCCTCAAGTTTATGGCGAATTCTGAATCTTTTGCTGTACATCTGAGAATAAATTCTTCTCCAGGGGAATCACAAGATGATTTCTGCATTGAAACAAAATGTCCTGGTAAGAAAATGAACTTTATTTTTCATTTCTGCATTGAAGGAAGAAAAGAGGGGGAAAGAAAAAAAGTCAACAACTTTACCTAGAAATTACTGATAACGATTCTAAAAAGAAACAGAGTTGCCATCTTTGACAGGAAAACTAGGCCTCACATTGTTTGCACATGTTTTACTAAGACAGAATTATTAGAAATTTGAATTAGAAAAAGCAGATTGTTTATGCTTCTCATGCAGATGTTCAAGTACTTCCGAGTTATCTTGTTTACAACACCCTAAGCTAGGACATAATACAATTTTATTCTTCATTCAGTTAGCAGCCAGATGTTCACTTGTTTGAAGTGGATAATGCAAAAGCAACAAGATTTATATAACCAAAATACGGCTTGAACAAATATGGGAACGCAAAAACGCAGCTTGAAAAGAGGATATATGGATTCTTCAAGGAAAATATGGATAAATTCAAAGAAGCAGCTACTCTGAACACGAATTGTCTGAAATCTCGTATGAAAAGCCTACAATTTATATTTAACTCCCCGTTAGTGATCTAGAGAATGATGCAGTCTCAGCATCACCCACCAAAAAAAATAGAAAAAGCGAAAATCAATTTTGATATACCTACATACACGTTTTAAGGGCTTAATTCCGGGGACTCAGGTGCAAAAACCGCTGCCTTTAAATTTTCACCGGCCAATTGAAAGGGTACCAATCTAGGCATTCTCCTAATGTTAAAACTAGATAGTGGATAAACGCAAAGACAGTTTTTAGTGATTGACAATCATAACTTTAGCTATGCTAAGACAGGATAAAGTAGAATAGTTAGAGACAATGTTCTCAAGTATCTGATGTAGGTATATGATCTTGTTAAAACTGAAACACTTTCTATAATAAATATCAGTAACAATGTTTCTAAACCACAAAGTGAATGTACATTTTCCAACTTTTACTGGAATTAACAGTAGAAACATGAATGGTGATAAATATGAAATCATCCATTAGGATATTGCTATTTGCATTTTAATGCACCAAGCAACCAAGCAGCACAACAAAACTGCCTTGACATGCAAACAGACTTTATTTGGCTAATGGAAACGTGGACAAAAAATCATTATAGATATGTGTAATATAACACTCAAGCCAGTGTCTGATGGACAATGTGGAAAGCACAAACAAACCTGCCGAGCCAAATTGTCTGAGACGTCAGAACAGCTATAACCTTCTGCTTCCTTGTGCATGCCCTTCTCCAAGTCATCCTGAACCCCCTGGTTAACTTCCAGAGAAACATTATCATCTGAATCTGAAGAAAGAATCTTGGAATTTGATAGCTCATAATCTGGATTGTGACTACACTCCAAATCTGCACTGAGGTACTGATGCTGTTTCTCACGTATAACTGTTGAATCCCCTGATTCTACGCTATCCTTTCCATAGAATTTTTCACTATTCAGCTTCTGATGTTTATCAGTTACAGTTTCTTTTTTCCCAGAACAGCAGCTGTTTTTGGAAGCTTCAACCCTGGTCTTAAAACTAGTGGATTCACTTGCAAATGGAGAATACTTCAAAAGTTTGGGCCTTCGTAGATTTCTGATATACTTGTTTGTTGAACCAACCTTTGTGCTAACCAAAGAAATACCAAACTCAGAGCTTTCTTTTTCAAGACAAGATGGATTGCTGAAACGGTTCTCTTCAAGTTTGGAATACAAGCTCGTGGGCCTAGCTTCCTTGTCCTGAATAGCAAACATTTGACCAAGACTACATCTCCTGCCTGACACTTCAATATCTGGAAAGCTTCTAGTTGTCTTCCATCGTTCAAAAATTTGCTTCTTTGCTTCGCTGGCAAAAAATGACCCACTATGAAAGGGGCATGAAACTTGTTCTCCATGTTTCCAACCAAAGGAACCTTGGGAGGAAGTCACCAGAGCCTTAGGTGCATGAACTGAGGAGTCCTCGGTTGTGATTCTTGATCTTGATGCATATCTCTGCCTGCCACTCATATATTTCCATTTCTCTTTGGCAGATTTATTTTCAACTTGCCAGGGATCCATAAAACAATACGTGGGTGGCTCAGTGGTCATCTTTTCAGTTTCTGTTACTTTTGCATTCAGTACCCTGCTTTTATATTGTAAGAGCTCCACATACTCCCCAGATTCCATGTCACCCTTCTGATGAAAAATGTCAGATCTCTGAAGATGTAAACCAGGAATTGTAGCCTGATTTGGTTTTAAACCAGGAATTGACTGTGAACTTCGTTTGCCATTTTCTGGGATCTCACTGCTAAAGACATGCTTAACTGCATACTGTTTCTCAGCAGTTTTCCTAGTTAAGCGGCTCGAAAGGAGTGAACTCTCCCCTAGCATACCTATAGAAGCACTTTTGCGGAGATAATCCTCAGAAAGCACTTTCAGTTGTCTGTTGGAGGGCTGCTGAGGCGGCAGCTCATCAATTCCCATCAACCTGGCAATAACACTTGGTGTATTTTGGTTACCTTCCATCTTTAACGCAGGTCAATGTGGATTCAGATCAGACACTGCACAGAAAAGACCAGGACGGATCCCCACATGTCAGAATTAATGTCATGCTTGTAGAATTTACAGAGTATCACAACTTTAAATGTGGTAAGCAAAGTGCCAGCATTTTAAGTAGCATTAGCAAAACAACAAAGACTACATCTGTTGTCCTGTATAGCAAATACAGCTTACACTATCTCTTCCATTATGCCATGATAACTGCAGCATAACCAAAATTTGGAGTCTAGATTTGAAAGAGCACTGCATTCCCAACTTCTCTACAGCAAAATGCTCCATATTCATAATCGAGAACAGACAGCACAATGGAATCAAAAAGTACTTATTGCAGCATTTCAGAACCCAAACATCAGGCGAAGGAACAAAGGCTCAAGCAATTAAAATCCGTACCTCCATTGCTTTACAATCTAAAATAGTAGGAAATATAGGTTTCAAAGACAGATTTAAGGAAAAAAGTGAAATTGAAATCAATGATAAGCATCCAAAGCTCAAAGGTTTTCAATATAAACACCAAAAGAGCAAAGGGCCCGCCCATACATGCTAGACAAATGACAGATAGGGAGAGAACCACGGATTCAAAGAAGAAAAACAGCTAAATTTTACATAATAAAGCACATTAATGCAAATTCACATCCCCAATTGTCTGGTGAAAATTAAAACAACGTGCTATAAGTTAAAACCCATATTAAAGTTCTAAATTGGAAGGCCGGAGAAAAGCAGCAAGATAGATTGAAATTAAATGCAGAAGCAACAATATCAAATTCGGTGTATCATCGGCGAAGAGGAACTTTCTAGGCTCTAGTGCCTGAACGGATTGAATAGCTCCCTCATCATCTCCGACAAATAAAAAACAAGTTTGTCAAAAGTAAAACAGCTAAAGCTAAAAAGGTAAGCAGACCATAATCATTACCACCGTCATCATCATTGATCAAAGGGACCTATTATCACAGTAAACCAAAAAAAAACCCTCAAAAAATTTCAGTAAACTACATAAATATCAGCGTCCTAAAAATTGTTACTTTAAAAAATGAGAATCATCCATCACCGCCATAACTAACCAAAGAAATCATCACCAATATCCCATCCATTTCATACAACTAATGCACAAATAAGCACTTAAATTCCCGATTATGCAAAATAATACAAAACCCAGGAGACATAAACATCTCAAATTAAATCCCAATGATCAGAAAAGGAGAATAGCCTGACTGACCTGTTATTGAAACTTGAAGGCTCTCCTTCTACTTCTACTTATGCAACTGGGCTTGCCATAGGAATTCAATATCGTCATTAGATGCACTATCTGAGTAGTAGTTCCATCGAGTGATGATATCTTAAAAACTAAAAAATTCAAGCGTTGAAATTCATTAAAAGAAAAGACAAAAGGCGGCTCCAGAAGAAGTGGAAGGTGAATCCCAGAGCAATATTGCAATATCTTGCAAAATGATCCAAGTAACTTTGTGCATGTGACAGTTTTCTTTTTGAATGCGCAGTCAAAGTTTCGACTTGCGGAGGGAATTATCAATCATGATGGAGTGATGATGATGATGAGCAGAGTTGAAGATTGCATATTGCCAAAAATAATTTATGGATCTTTATTATATGCACGTAAAACATTGATGTGGGGCGGGGGAGGATTTAATATATTTCTTATGTGAAGATCCCTCTGTTCCCTCCCCCAAATAAAACAGCAGCGTAAACTTGGTTGGTTAAATTTGGAAGAGAGTGGATTTTGAATTGGTATTATTCCTATTCTACGCGCATCGACAATGAGGTGGTCAACGCGAAATTTGCGCCAAAATTTGGACAGGGAATTCTCATCCACTATTTGCTATTTCCACTTCAAAAGATTTTTCTACTTCCAATCTTGTTCCCTCTCTGCATTGATTTGGAAAAATAAAGATTTTTCTCTTATTTAACCAATTCGAGGTTTTGTTCCCTCTTTCTAGCTTTTTATGATGCTATGAGGGTTTGTAGGTATATATATATATATATATATATATATATATTTGTATATATATATGTATAGATATATATAAGTTAAAGATATTAACATTGATAAATTTATAGTATAAGTATCATTTCGTGCAGTATAAGATAAGTTATATAACCAAATTCACTCATACATCTTTAATATATGGTAAGGATGTATTTCTTCACTAAACATATCCAAAGTTTAAGTTTATAAATTTCTTTGTTTGTATTACGAGTATAATTATTTTACATTATACTTGAAGTTATAATCTCAAATAAGGAGACCCTTGTAATTCCAATAATCATGATAAAGAGATCAAAGAGACAAGAAAATAACACAACAAAATCAAATTTCTGAACTAATATTCATTATATTTATTGCACATGAATTACGTATACGATAACTTACACATATTATGGATCATATTTTGTATCCCGTGTTTGTAAGAAGATGAAAATGATTGCATGAAAAAAGGACAGGATTTTGGACCAAAATTTAGAAGAATAATGAATAAACATGCATTATTGCAATTTGATACAAGAGAAGCGCATACATATCGCACATTAGATATTTTGATGCTAAACTCTAGTGTGATTCTAGATCCCATCAATAAGCACGACGTTACAAAATTTGAATAGCCTTTTTATAATTTTAGAAAATTATGCGAATGGTCTTTTTTTATAACAGTGTGATTTTGCACAAATTTATGATAAAGTCCATAGTTTAGTTTCAACTTATAATTTATAACGTACTTAAAGCCCACCAATTGTGTACCTCCATATCAATTAACCCCCAAAAAAGATAGTAGAAAAGATTAAAGCTTTATCTTTTTGTTTGTTTTATCCCAAAAAAAAAAAAAGAGAAGTAGGGTGCAGTAGTGAAAGTAGAGACAACAGGAGTGGAAAAAGCAATTGGGTTGCCCATTATTAGCGAAAAAGGAGGAATATTCGAATGAATGAAGGCCGAGGTTGGCGCGGAAAATATTGTCACGTGAGTTTCATGCGGGCAATGTATCGTGGGGCCGCGGCGTATGGGCTTCACAATCCGCTTGGCTGGATGGACGCGTGAATTTATTATGAGGGTTTCCTTCCCTCCCTAGACATGATGGTACGCTGGTGCTACTATCTCTTTGTTCTTTTATTCCCCTTTATTTTATATAGTTTTTCTGTGTGGTAATTAGAGCATTAAAATGGAGTTAGTTGGCCTAATTGTATAAAATGGACGGCCGTGGATTAGGGCCCTTAATAATGAGCAAGAGGCTTCCCAAAAATTACCCAGAAAAAGAAGAAGAAGAAGAAGAGGAGAAAACAAATAAAATTTTAATACAACAGTTACTCTATCATGTTAAATGAATGAATAGGGTTTAACTTTTGAATCATGCAAATGTTCGTGGCAATCAATTTGAACCGTTAAGCGTACGCATGTCAAATTATCTTACTATATAATAAAGTGTAAACAGGTGTCTGGTTTTAATATTTAACCTTTTAAAAGTATCTTTTCAACGTTTACCATTATCTATTCACGTCTCATTTGGAAAAACTTTCACTTCTACATAACTCTTGGATTAACTAATCAGCTAATGAATATTATTGCATCACCTCCCAAAAGAAATGACAGAAGAGTGGCAATTGATGTAAACAATTTTAGATATTTTTTGGACTTCTAACTTCATCCTTGCAAAAAAAATAAATTAATTTTTCCGTTCATCGCGTGATCATATTTTGTCTTTCTAACTACTCGTAACCACCTTAACCCAACTACCAAATTACTGTTACATTATAAACCAAAGTTCTTTAATAAAAAAATTATATCAATTTGATTTATGGAAAAAGCAACAATATTGCATAAAACTAATTCATTTTAATTATTTCTAAATTGCACACACATTGGGTCTGCAGTTAACACCTAGTTTCTAAAGTTGGAGCAAGTTGGATCTTCTAATTTTGATGCTGCAATAAATTCGGTCAAATTTCAAACTCTTTATAGTCACATATTAAAAGTGGGGTCTTTTGTTTTGTTTCAGATTGAAAAATGTATCTTGAGTTTATCATCCAAATGGCAAAGCTTTTAACCTTTTACACCTCAGTAGTGAGAAAGCTATTATTGGTGCAATTTCTTTTTGTTATGTATCACAAAAGTTGGTGACCCAAATGACTTAATTGCTTTTTGACACCCAAAAAAAAAATTAATTGCAACGAATCTTACGTCCTGTCAGCTTCTGTTTCTTTTCCCAATTTTGTGTGGGCAACAAAGAGTATAAAAGAAAAGCAAAAAAAGGAACATGAAGACACACGTGGTCATTCTCAGATCCATTGCTTTTGAGACAATTAATCAGGAATTTCTAATAAAGCAGATGACCCAGGGGGGAAAAAAAGTAATTGATTCTATGAAATTTGACAGGGAAATATGACCCCAGATTTTGTTATGATATATCGTCATCATCCGTTGCAATTTGCAATGACAGGCCTTGCAACTTTTAACAAACAAACCAAGAGGTTCTCAATTTGTTTGGTAGAGTATTATTTAAAATAATTACTGTAGCATTTTTTTTGTAATGTGATGTATGTGAGATAAAAAAAATAATTGGCAATATAAAAAAGTGGATTGAGAAGTGTGTTTATGATACTGGTGATATATTATTTGAGATAATTTACTATCCCAACACTCTCGGAGATCACTACTTACTGGAAGACAGATTAATATGCATCAACTTTTTGACACTTCTTTGAGGACTAATAATCAAAATCAAGTTCAAACGACTATAAGATTGTTATATAATCTTTACTTGTAAAAAATGGCGTAATTTCTTAGCAAGAATTATGAGTTCTACTTCATTTAGGTTGAGGACTCGAGCCATCATTAAATGATAGGAAGACAATCACTATGAATCTCTTTCTTTTTTTTTTTTTAAGTAAATTTAACGATCAATAAAATCTTCAAGTTTAGTTTTTATAGCGAAAACTAATTAAACTATCGAACTTCAATTTATCCATCAGAAAATCATCATGACAAACAACTTTGTGTTCGGTTGAATTGATTGGCCCCCTAATCGCTAAACACGACCAAGGGCCAAAAGTTTGAAGTAGGAAATGGCAATTATATATCATTGGTTTGAAGTTGGAATTTGGACATTAGAAGACGTTAATGACTCTTAAGGATTTAACTAATGGTCACATTTAACCCTGTATCATGAACATGGTCTGTTTTTTCGTCTAGGTTCATTTTATTCTTCCATTTAGTCTAGGTTCATTAGAGTTGACTATTATAAACTTTGGGCCTTTACAACAGAATTGTGAATAAGAGGGAGTTGCGTGGATAGGAGTTTATTTAGATGATTTATTTGAGATAATTACTGTAGCACTTTTATGATGTGATGCATGTGAGATAAAAAGGTGATTGAAATTTGTGAAGTAAATTTTTTTAATCCAAATCTTCCTAATCCAAACACATATGCAGTACTGATAACATCAAAATGAACTCTAAGTTAGGTAAACATATTGAGCTTGCTAACTCATAGTATGAGCTAAATAAAGACGATTAATCAATTTTATTCTAGCAATAATGGGCTCGGGTGCAAATGGTAGAAAAATCCTTAGAAGTTGAAAATTTTTCATGGTCTAATTAATGGTCAAGGAATAATGACAAATTGAAGAATACTAAAATTACTAGTAAAAATGAATAATATGAAACAAAATCAGAATTAATACACCTTCCAGTGTATCTGAATTGGGAAAAATTATCAAAATGGTCCCTTATATTTTTTGAAAAAAAAAAACTTTATTAGTCTCTTACATTCAAAATTTAGTCAAAATAGTCCCTCAAATATAATCAAAATATGCCCCTTTTTCCCGGAACTCATTTTTTAATCAGTTTTTTGGTCGAAAAGCACGCACCTTACTCATGTGCTCACAAATTTAAAGGCAAAATAGAAACATAATTCTTTTTTTCTCCAAGAAAAAGAAAAGTGCAAGATAATCACATGATCATCTTTAGAATAGGAAAGCACAATTTTTATCCGCCAAGCCTATAATTGATTAAGAAAAAGTCACTTGCATTTTCTGCACCTTTTCACTTATATAGCACTAAGTCCCTGGATGGGCTCCAAAAATTGCCGGCTTTTGGAGTTTCATCTGGGATTAGGTTTAATTAATCAACGAAAAGTCTAGTACTAGAGTTGACTTATATAGCATCTACTTCGTTGTAAACAACTTTTGATTATAGGTTTAGTGGATAAAAATCAGGGTTCCTATTAGAGAAGTAGACTTGCAATTGTCTTTTTTTTTTTTTTTGAGAAAAGCGAATTTTGTTCCATTTTGCCCTTGTAATTGTGGACCGATCGGAAATGAGTTCCGAGACTAAATAGACACTCTTTTAAATATTTGAGTAATTATTTGACTGATTTTAAGTATGTGGGACTAAAAATGTTTTCATCAATAAAAAAAGCGAGGAACCATTTGGGCAATAAAAATAAAGTCAAATGATATCAACGTGGTCAATGGTCTGACACGCCACAGAAGGACACGTTATGCGTTAGTACTTAATACTACAACACCCATAACTCCAGAAGAATCTCTAAATAGAGCGGTGATTCCCGTTCCATTGCATTCAAGAAACCACCACGTCCTTCCCCTCGCCCCAAAAACTCACAAATCACAGTACCAAACAAGCAAAGACTTATTCTTTCCGATCATCAATGGCTGATTCTAAGCCAGTGGAGGTCTGTGTAAAAGCTGCTGCTGCTGCCCCTGGCATTCTTGGAGACTGTAATTCCTTTTCCCTATTTATCTATCACTCAAGTTTATTTACTCTTTAATATTATTTGGATTTTTTTTATTCTTACTTCCTTTTTTTTTTCGTGGAATTGATTCAATATTGGTGAAATTTCTGATGGGTTTTGGCATTTTGAAGGCCCATTTTGCCATAGGATACTTTTGACCCTGGAGGTAAAGAAAGTACCTTACAAGTTGCACCTAATCAACACTGATGACAAGCCACAATGGTCAGTTTTGCTTCCCATTTACTGTTTTTCTTTGATCAATTTTTTTTGTATTTAGTAATTTTTTGCCGGGTTTTTAGTCTAATACCAAAAAATGTTTCTTTGGAAATGGTATTTAGGTTCTTGGCTGTGAACCCAGAAGGGAAGGTGCCAGTGATCAAATTTGATGACAAATGGATTTCTGACTCTGATGTGATAATTGGGATGATTGAAGAGAAATACCCAGAACCCCCTCTGTCTGCTCCTCCTGAAGCCTCCTCTGTGTACATTCTGTTTCTCTACTGCTTTATCCGCGTATTATCTTTTATAGAGTGGGAGGGCTGGGAAGGAAGAAGGTGGAAGGGGGGGGGGGGTGACGATCAAAGACCTTTGACCACTGGGTCATAGGCGACTTTCTATTTGGCTGATTGTGTTTATGTGTAGGCATTGTTTATTAAGTACTAGAACCTTTGGGTGTTAGTAAATTTTTTAGTTTCCCGGGAAAGCAGGTATATGTAGAGCGTCTATACTAGATAATCATCCTGGTGGTTTTTATGAAAATATGAATTTGAAGCTGAATTATGCTATTGTTAAATTGTGGAGTTTATTTCGCAATTTTCTATGTAGCTAGCATATTCTCATGCACAATCCTTACCTTGTTATTCATTTCTTTTTGAAGTGATTACTGCAGAAATTACTTTGACCCTTGCTGATATTTTATGTTGTCCATTTTTGCTTCCGAAAATTGTATCCAGAATGGGAAAGCTCAGGTGATCATATAGGGAATTTTATTGATTTGCAAAGTTTCTTGATTTTCAGAACATGCCACTTCTTGATGTCGTTGAAGTTCTGCTCAAATCTGCTTTTGCCTGCAGATCTTATGTTCTGGCTTTCAGACATCCACTGGAATTCAAAATATTCTAAAACAGAAACTTCAGTCTCTCATTTTCAAGTTTTGCTATTTCTTTTGAAGGATGAGAGCCTATAGCGTAATCACACAAGCTTGTATCAATCAAAAAATTAAAATGGATATTATTTTTTCTTTTATTTTTTTTGGGGGGGGGGGTTTCTATTGAGCTGATGCTCTTATTCACGTCCTGGACAACAGTGTAAAACAACAGATGACAATAATAGTAATATTTTATATAAGAACAGCTAGTTACTGTGATATCATGAAGTGTATGTCTTGTAAAAGTAGGTGGTCTTATTTGCTTGTCTCTGATGTTTAGACGATCCTCTATCAATTTTTCATGATCCCTGTTCAAAATTTCCTGCTGTTGAGTCAACTTGTCATGTTCAGGAAGAGTAAACAAATTGTGTTGTTTTATTACTGCAAAATTGTTGCTGTTTCTTGCTGATTTTCTTATTTTCAACATTCTCAAAATCTAGGGCTTCAAAGATATTCCCTGCTTTTGTCAAGTTTCTAAAGAGCAAGGATCCCAATGATGGGACAGAGCAAGCTCTACTAGAAGAACTAAAGGCATTAGATGAACACCTCAAAGCTCATGTATGCATACATGCCCTTGTCATTACTGAAAAAATGAGCAAAGTTGAATATTATTCCTGCTAACTCTTAGGTTTGGTTTTTGTGGTTGTGCCTGTTTAGGGACCATATATCAATGGCGAAAAGATATCTGCTGTTGATTTGAGTTTGGCACCTAAACTGTACCATCTTGAAACAACTCTTGACCATTTCAAGGGCTGGAAAATCCCTGAAAACTTGGCTCATTTACATAACTACATAAAGGTATGAGATTTTCATGATTGCATCCCTGTCTCTCTCATCTCTTGAAATGCATAGCTGATTTCTTTAGAGTCCTTCCTACTCCTGCATCTTCATGTGCTTTTGCTTGCTTTTCTGTTTCTAGCTGCACCTTCTTTTTCCTTTCTTCTCTTTGCTTGGTGGTGGGATCAATGAAATGTGTTTTTAGACTACAACACAACGTTTTCCTTTCCATGTCATGAGTTGAGTGGAAAGACATTTTGCCGTATGGTTTGTAGAAATTATAGTTGGCAGTTAATAGCGGCTTTCGTTTTGAATTGAAAGGGGTGAAAAAGAAATTAAGAAAATGATATAATTTTTTCATGTGTAAGTTTGAATTTCAGGTGTTTCTGGAAGTTGGATTTAGGGAACACAAGTTCTCTGTATTGCAGCCTTTGTTGAAAGTTTGCATTAGATCAACAGTCGGAGTACTTGTATAGCTGGTTTGTTTGTTGATGCGCAAATTAATGTAGTAAATCAGCTGATATTTTACTTAAGCAAGGCCATTTTAGTCACACGCATGAGCTTGTCTTTTATGCATCCACCCTCGAAAGATCTTAATGACAAGATTGGAATTTTCCTTCTCTCATTTTCGCCAGTGAACTTTTTCATTGATTATATTTTTGCAGCTTGCACTCTTCCTTCTTAGGTTGTCTTCGCTTTCTACCAACCAGCTTCCGTACCCTTCTTATCTCTTGCTTCTGAAACGAAGCATAAAGATAATTCGTGAACTTAGTTCTTCATACTACCTTGGTCGCCAAATAGGCAAAGCAATTAAACTGAGTTCTCAGCAGGACAAGGGCAAAATAGTTGGAATGTCATGCTGCGTTGTGTAGATGCTAGATTGCTTGTTCCGTTACGTAGTGCTCTGGAAAGATTTACAAGTTATACGGGAGATCTGTCGGTTCTTTTATCCCCCCCAGTTCGCGATATCTGAGCATGAATCTATTGGATACTTTCCTGCTGACCTAAAGCATGATACTTAATATGAAGAAAATGCTGTTGTCCAAGAAGAAGAGAAGTTAAATCTAAGTCTTCTGTGATTTAACTTTTTCCGTACAATCACAATTATTGCTTTAACCTTGCTTGATAAGATGAATAGAGACGTCTGATTTCATGCTAATTCCTTATTGTGCAGCTGGTTTTTTCTTGGGAGACTTTTGACAAAACCAAGGCTGCAAAAGAACATGTGATTGCTGGATGGAAGCCAAAGGTTGAGGCGTGAAGCTGTTCTAAATTACGACAACGACAAAGCTCCTATCTATTCTGTGACAAGACATGCTATAATTGTCGGCACTTTTCTTGTTTTTTTTTTTTTTTTGGAGGTGTGGGGAGAGAGAAGAGGGGGTTGAGTTAGTGTGTTTGGATTGTAAGTTATTTGTCCAAATATATTTGCTTACATCACCATTATAATTTTCAATACACCTTTTTATCTTTTCAATTACCTTTTTATTTTACATACATCACATCACAAGAAGTGCTACAGTAAAAATATTTCAAATAACTTACAATCCAAACACATATATTAATGTTTTCTTGTGGTTCGGACTAATACCAGAAACGTGGAGAAGATGCAGAAACAGGAGCATATTTGTACCTGTCCTTTTACAAATTTGCCGACAATTTGATGTCCTCTGCACATATGCATGTGTATGGTCATCGTAATGTTTTGGGGTCATTTTCTCTTTTTAATGTAAGGGGGGGTGTGTGACAATGAAAGAAGACGGGAGGGGAGAATCAAGACTTTCGTTATGGGACGAGGAACGCAAAATCCACAGCCATATTTTCCATCCCACGGTTGTCAGAGGAGTCTTTATTTATTATTACTATTTCTTTTTAATAAAGAGAAGCGGCTCATGCCCGAGTACACATGAAGTTGAAACGAGTGTTGGTTTTACCTTCTGCGGTGTTTATTTAGGTAAATGCTTCTTTTTTACTCAAAAGAAGGAAAATAAATTTAGAAAGCTTTATGTGAGAAAAAACAGAAAATGGTTTTACTGACACGGTACAAACTGCAGGTTAAAAAATGGGCCGTAGATTGTGAATTAAATCTTTCGCTCTGCAGATCAAAAAATCTAGAGAAAAATGGCTGTAGATTGAGAGTTTAAATCTCACACGCTGCAGATAAAAAAAATTCCCGGGGGGAGGAAAATGGATCTCCCATTCTGCAGATAAAAAATTCTCGGGGAGGAAGATGGGCTGCAGATTGCGAGTTTATCCTACATTTTTAAAAAGTTTCAGATAATATAATATATCACTAGACTTTTCCAGAGATGTAATCAAGTCGAGTTGATACTCGAGCTCAATTTGGCATGCAAGAAGGATGTTCGAACTCAAGCGAGTAGTGTTATTGAAACTTGAGTTCGAGCTTGATGCATTGCTCATAGAACTCGAGCTCGACTCGTATTGGCTCGAGTCAATGCGAGCCTTATAGAGTTCGAGTCAAAATATTTCATTTTCTTGATAATTTTTGAGCAAAAAGATATTATTGCCCTTTAAAAATTTTCATACGATTCGAAACATGTCGTAAATTCAACCACTCTTTTGGACATAACGATAATTTTATAATAATAATAATAATATATTAAAAAATCTAAATTAAAAATTTGATAATTAAAATTAAAAGGACGAGTCTTGGAGCATTGCATCTAGATACTCGAATTCGATTTGCTCGACTTATTGATTTACTGAAACTCGACTCGAACTCGATGAATCCGAGCTTGAATCAAGTTCACGAGTAACTCGGGATGATTACAACCCTACACTCCTCCTGTTTGGATGGATATTTCCTTCCAACTTTTTGTACAACTAAATTGGATTATTCTTTACGTCTTTTCTCGAGTTGCTTTCTGCTACGCCCCCGAAGAAGAGGCGTAGCTTCTTGTCACTCTTTAAATTAGGTTAAATATGCTGCAAGCAGTAGTGACTTTTGACAATGATTTGTTCCAAGTTCTGACCCGTGACATAAAACGACCTTGCACATTCTCTTCTAAGTTCTAACGGCTTAACCAGAAGTTGAAATTTTCTTATGCTTTGTTTTGGTTTACAGACCTAATATTGTGTGCTTTTCTATGGCGAAAGATTTTTTTTTTTTGAAGTGAAATATTAGTTCTTAAATAAATGACCAAGTGGGATCTAAATTCTCAACAAAACTTCAATATGAAGATTTTTCGAATTATAAGAAGGCTGAATAGAAAGTAGGGCTGAAAGATGAACCAAATTAGTTGACATTTGAATCGAGTTCGACTTGATAAAAACTCGTTCCACACCGATTAGTCAAACTAAACTTCAACAAAATAAGTCAAATTTAAACAAAATTTTAAACTCGTTAAAATAATCAAACAAGCTGGACAGATTAAATAGACAAAAATATTATAGAATGATTGGATAATTGAGTGGCCTTTGTCATGTTGATTTTATTAGACCTTTGTCATAAACAACTGGCCAAGTGCGCTTCCCACTTAATTCTCCACTCAACAATAATCTCATGCACAACCTTTCTTTTATTTTTTTTTTTAAATGGAAAGTATGCAATTTTCTGGATATAGCCTTGAATTGTTTATCAGGCACCGTTCAAAAAAAAAAAAAGAATTGTTTAGCAGCGAAATACTAGGGTTCACCAAAAGAGCATTTTTTTTTCATCTGAAAAAATGCAAAACTAACTCGAGGTTCTCCAAATCAATAGCAAGATTATGAATCGATTAATAGTAGTTCTGTGCACTTTTTTTTTTCACCGTTTCATGCTTCTATTTTGTAGAACCTTTGAAAATTTTTTGCCTCATTTCTTCACAGTACCGCCTCTATATAGTCTTCCTTCTCCAGACAGACATCCCTGCAAGCCAGCAGCAAACGATATGCAAAAACCCCCATTTTCATTTAGAAGTGTGCAATTGTCAAGAACACAAACAACAAAGAAGAAGAAGAAGAAGAAGAAGAAACCCTAAAAGTTGAAAGAGAGAGTTGTCCCAATAATACTCGTGTGAGAAGTCCATTGTCACGATTGATAAGGTGACAAAAAGTTGATTAGTGGTGTCACTGTCATGTTTAGTTGGCAATCCTTAGCAGTGTTCGAATCTCTGTACGAAGAAATCCTTGCGATTCTTCAAAGTTTTAACCTCTTCTATTTGCTCTTATTTCACAGGAGAAGTTCAAGGATGCCATACATTAACATGGCCTCTGAAGTTCACCCCACATCTAAGGAACCATTCCAACATTGTTTGGCAGCGAAAGAAATTGTGCAAAAGTTGATTGATTCTCAACTAGGGAGGGAGTAAGTTGAAGCTGGTTGATCATATCCACCATTGAGTTTTCATGAGGAACAATATATGGTTCTGTGCAGCTTTTAATTATGTTTTCCAATCCATAGAGTTAAGGCTTCCATAGAGTTAATTAAGGCCTAAAAAGAACAGTAAAATCCATGCAGAAAAGAAGAAGAAGAACAACAACAACAACAACAAATAGCCTTTCTTTTGGGCCTTACAACAATAATTTCAAGGGCTAGTGCTCCTTCTTTAAACCTTTTTTTTTTTTTTAACTCTAGAAGAAAAGCTCATTGTCACCTACAGTTTCTCAATCAAGACCACATATTTTTGTATCTCTATCCCTTGTAAAGTTTGGATTCTCTCTTGAATCCCAATAGAAAAAAAAATGAATATCATTTTGCCCTTCGTCAATAGTACTCCTTTCATAAGGTAAACTCTCAAAGCTGTATCACTAACTTGCCATCCATAAAAGGGCAAAAAGTACTTCCAGACGTCAGGTTCTTTTACGACTTTCTCAAGAATATATATAATGATCGTAAATTTTTTTTACTATAGCCACCACAAAAGAAAGTATTTTGTTTGTTAAAGAGCAGCAGGAGTTAATGAATTAACCTTCGTAAACAGTTGAAGGTCTAAAAAGAAAGAGACTTGAGATGGCGTCAATTGATACCAACAATTTTTCAGGAGCTCAAAGCGAACAAGTTTTTTTTGGTCTGAGCGGGCAAAATACAGTTGAATGTAAAGTTGCTAACCATAGGGATAATATATGAAGTCACTAAGCTGACCTTCCCGAGTTCAAGGTGTAGAAATCCAAATAGAGCATATCCAATTCATCCTTCTTAAACATTTTGTTAAATGCCCATGCAGTATGCATCCTCTCTAATCTCAGTCGTCGCATGAAACAGAAAACACAACCAATGAAATGAGTACTAAACCTTTTCCCAAACACAAGAATGCCAATTTAGTGCAAATTCCGTTCTTTTTTTCACTTTGGTTAGTTTGCAGGCAAGATTTTGAAATCACAACATATCCAACATTTGTGCAATTGGCAATCCCTGCGATCATATATCATCCAAGAAGTGTTAAAGCTACTTATTGCTGCCTTTAATCTATGTTTTATGTGGTTGAATATATTAACGACTAAAAACTGTAATTGACAATTCTATCCATTCGTGCAATTGGGATTCGTGAAAACTAGCATCTGAAGGAACTTGGGATTGCAATTAGCCACAGGGCGTCCGCACGCACCAGAAATTTCAAGGCAAATTTTGATGCAAAGTGTTTGGGGAAAAAAAGAAAGAAAAAAGAACACCAAGTCGGGAATGTAAATTAAAACAGGTGCAGCAAGGATCATGATCGCGACCTCGAAAGGAAAGAAACAGGTAGTCCCAGTTTAATCTATGCTACATTTACTGATTCAGTCCTACTGAGTTACAAACACATGCATGTCACATGATGCAACCTTCAATAGCCATAAATGACAGCAAAGAAACAAATTTATACGACAAATTTATTTATATAGAATGATAGACGATAGTAACAAATCAAAGAAAGAATAATCCAGGTACCCTTCTTGCATTTCCATCCTCCAATAATATGTCACTCTCTAGAATATTCACAAAACACACATAATAATAATAATAATAATAATAATCATGAGGCATCCATATGTTTGTCATTACTCGACGATCATATGATCAGGAAATAGCAAAGATTGCACAAGGAAACCTTTCCTATCTGGGGGATGTGGCACGTCTTGATAGGAAATCCTCAAGATTTCATTGATTATGTGGAAAGGGACCACAGGGTACTAAGTCCGTAGTTTCAATTTTCAATGATGTAGGGGCCCTTTTAAAATAGTCTATATGAGTTTGGCTGGATGTGAAGAATTCATATGTGAAGTGAGGAGGTTAAGGTATACGAATTATAAGAAACGGCATCCCAACCAGTAAATCATAAGTTTGATTTCTATGGCGTGTGTTAATCTTCTGGATCCTTGGGATTTTCCTCATCATCATCATCATCATCATCATTGTGATCATGATCAGATACTATCTTTTGAATCATTGCATTTGTTTCTGTCTCTGACATTCGATCTTCCTTCTTCCGAGATCGAGAATAGGCCTCAAAGAATTCTTTGTTCTCTTTCTCTAGTTCATTCCACACTGCAGTAGATCAAAAGTGCTTCAGATGCATATCAAAATTCCACGTTACGTTACGGAAGATATGGCAAATCATCTCTAAAATTTCTTCCACATCATGATTTTATGGAAATTTTTCAACAACAGAAACCATTCCTGCTGTCTTCAGTAGTGATCGCTAGGTTCATAATACTGTAATTTCTCACACTCCTAAGGATCGTTGCTTCAATAAGCAAGATGTCTATTATCTTAATCTCAAATTTTCCCTTGAAAGATATTGAACTTAATTGCTAACTTTCTTTCTTCTTCCTCGTGACTTTATCGTGTCAGTAAAAGGAGAGGCAGTTTTCAGAGTCATGCATGATGCAACTGCACAACTGTGCATGCATGCAACTTGTATCATTAGCTATCAAGTGCAGATAGAAAGTCCAAACACAGCAACGAGTTGAAACAAATAAACTAACCAGTAGCAGTGATGACTGGTGTGATGTTCGCATGCTTGGAGAGGGCCTCCATGCACTCTTCTTTGCTCATGTTGAAGATAAGGCACTCCTCTATTAGGTGCTGCACCTAAATCAGATCATCCATTTAGGTCATTATTCAAAGCAAAAGAACCACCAGCTTACAATCATGTATTACTTGGTAGGCAAGACAACCAATACCATATGTAGAAACATGTATGACTTCAAAGCCAGAACACTGTTACAACAAAAATCTTTCATGAAAAAACATGTATGTAGCACGAAACCACTGATATAATCTGTCAAGGTATATCTGCTTTAATTACCATATGTATGTACGAAGCAGAAGAGTCCCCCATAATGTTAAGATATGATGTGATTCACATAAACAAGATTCAGAAGAGAATTTAATTAAACTCAATATGAAATAGATGAAGAGAGAGAGAGAGAGAGAGAGATCGGGTGAAGCATATATGATGTTAGATGATCATGAGTTATGGCAGTGCAATAAGAATTAGATTATATAGCGAAGGGAAAAGAATTAATGGTGAGGTTGGGCCAAAGTCCCACGTGGGAGATGGATAATAATTGGTGGAGAGGGGATTACAGGATTTTGTAAACGACCATTTCTTTGTCTTGTGGGATTTTGCAATTACGCAGCCCCCTTCCACGTGATGAAGGGGACCCCCCCATTTAGGAATGCTCTGAATTTGACAATCCACCAAAACCACATGGCATCCTACTAGACTAACAAATTATCCGCTCGGCCATCATGGACCAATCTTCAACAACCACGTGGCCAACGGTTCAAACATTTGGCCACCCTAAAAATATAGAAGGGCATATATGTCTTTTGAATCGACTTCCCTGAATATTCTGCTCTACTGCAAGGTTGTGCATCTTGTAAGTTGGGATTAGTTATCAGCACCAAAATAACCGAAAGACTCGCAAAATGCCAGTTTAGACACTGTTTCTTTCGGCTTCTTGCATCGGACTGAGCCAATTCATCTTTCTAACTCACAATCAACTCAACGTCTTGTCTTGCTTTACATCATGTTTTCAATCCCTCTCAGTCTCCTCTCTAGAAAGACCAGCTTGTGGGGGGGATAATATTGCCATTTCTAGGATCTGACACATGCAACTTTGGCTGACTCCCCTCTATTCACCCAAAGTGAGGCCCAAACCTTGATGTCTTTCATGCATCTTTCAGCTCTTGATCACTTGCTAAAAAGCAAACTACAAAACCACAGCAGTTCTTCTAGCGCAGAAGGCCCTTTACCACACTTATTCTGGGCTGTAAATGGGTTGCATTATTTCCTGCACTCTTTGTCAATCATGTTACCCTGACAACCCTAAAATAATAGCTAATTTCTCATGCCTGTATTAAAATCTAGTGTTTAACAATTTTCAGACAAGGCTATGATCTATAGATACATGTCTATAATTCCCTAAAAATTTTGAATAAAGGAATCACCTTCCAGTCTTCTTGATTAGAAGGAAAGCTATGTGAGAAATCAAGTGAAGTAAAATAAAGAGAAAATCACTTTTTCATGCATCTTTCTATGACAAGAAAATTTTTGAGGTAAAATAGGCAGCTAGTGGTAGTTATTGAGAATACTGTGTGTAACTAAAATTTTTCCCTTCAAAATCCTGCAAATTTTGCAGGACACAAACTAAAGTGTGGCTAAGTGTAAAAATATTTAGTTGCTTTCCTGCTAAACAAACATTATACAAAGGACAAATGACAAACTTCCTTCACTTTCTTAAACTCTTCCATGCAAACGAACACCACCGAAAGGATTGCTTTTTCTCTCCTTTTTGAACCTTAATGATGAGAATAATTAAATCAAACAATTCCTTTTGCTAAGCAGTACCAACTAGCCAGGACTATGGGTCATAGAAATAAGACGAATTTCATAAATCCTTGTGATATCTCAATCCAACTATCACAAGTCATGTCAAATAATTGAGACTAGAAGCGATTTCAAATCTTCACTTGTTTTTTGGTTCTTCTCCTTCCTTTTAATAAGTAAGGAGGAGGTGTTGTAGTTTTGGACTTTCTACATAATTATTGACAATCGTATTCGATGGACTTGATAAGAGGATATTGGTAACATGTTATCTGCGGTTCTCACATGATCTCTAGCTGCCTTCATATTGCTCTCTGCAGCATACCAGCGATAAGGCTTTGAAGGTGCACAAACATCAAAGCTAAATTGGAAACATGTACGCCTCACCTAGAAGCAGAAAATGATATGATCCTACATCCCAAGTTTTTTAGCCAGGTCACCAACTCTTATGGCTGTATGTGCATAAAAGTATGGATTCAGCTTCACTACATGTCAGCTGCTGATTGGTTTGGAATGAAGAAGGAAGCCTAAACTTATAATCCTTGATTTCCTATCCAAGCTATCTGTCAAAACTATCAAGCGAAAGTTACCCTGTCAAGGCCAAGTGGAGGGCGAGCTTAGAGAATCGATAGCCAACCACTGTCTAGCAGCAGCAATATGACACTCAGAGAATCAAAAAGAAACATTACACAATCCCTTTGGACCAATTAATGCTTTGAAAGGGTAATAAGTCATTCCTAAGAATCTCAACCTGAGAAAACGAAGACACAAAAGGTCCTTATCATTGATCACTTTTTAAGCTCAAAAATACAAATTAAGAAGGGAAACACTCGAGTAAACACCCATTCAAGTGCCGACCACAAGCTTAGTGGTTAATAATCAATTAAACCGCAAAATACACATCAACTAGCATAATAGAAAAGGATCATCTTTCTTTGGCCAAAAAGCTCAGTGAGACCTAATTTGGAGAAAACAATAATTTGTAATAATCATCATCCATTTTAAAGAGAATTTATGGTTCACCAACAGCATGAAAATCTAATGAATTACAAGAAAAATAAAAGTAGCTGAAAAAAAAAGCGTGTAGCACTAACAAATATTCTCAACAATCATAGAAGGATGCATAACCACTAAGATCATTTCTTAGTAATTTTCATTCCGGATGAAAGTAGGAATAGATGAGCCAACAAATAATCATGGTGAAGCCCACAACTTTCCCAATTTTAGAAGCCAAAGTTTTGTTCATTACCTTTGGAATATGAATTTTGAGGAAATCGAAATTATAAGTAGGGAAAATCATTCAAAACATCCATCACATTTTGCCAAATGAATTTTTTGTCCTTCACTTATAAAATGTTAACTTTATGTCCTTTACAAATTCAAGTTAGCAAAACTGAGTCCCAACCTAATTTTTTGACTACTTTTTACCCTAAATCCATCATGTGACTCGCACAGTCTTTTTTTTTTTTTGCGATAAAAAGGTTAGTTCTTATTGTAGTTAAACAAATGACTCAATCCATATTTATTTTTGCCCCTAAAAAGTAAGATGCAACCCAAACCATATTCATTTTTGCCATTAAAAAAGTGAGATCTGACTCAATTCTTATTTGTTTTTGCTATTAAAAAAGTGAGATCTAAACTTTTTGTAAGTGAAAAATTGACTGCATACGGGTTACATAGTGATTTCAGGTTAAAAAGTGATCAGAAATCTATGTCGGAACTAGATTTTGCTAACTATATGTTCCTTTATAAATAATATCATTTGCTCACTTTCTTATAAGTTTCCAGTTTTATCAGTTCTCCAATTTCATGCGGTATTAATAAATCCTAAGCATCCAGCATAATTGCCTTATTACGCATTTTAGTAGATATTCCAAATAAGCATGCTGCATCCGATACAGCAGTGTAAAATAAAATTGCAGCAAAGACTGCGTCTCCGGTGCTACAACAAATGTCACAGGTTATTCTAGTAGTAAAAAAATTTCTAGAGTTGCAGAAGCAGAAATAGTACCTTTCTATGTCAAATTGGGAGTCCGTATGCTCTTTTTTATTTTGCAATTAGTAGTGGGACTAGTTTTTGGGGCAACACGACAAATTCGCCCCCCTACACGTCAAATTGCACCATCTTAAAGTCACTGGTAACTATAACAATATATCACTCCAGCATAATCCAGAAATTGAATTGAAACATTTCAAGGCTAAAAAGGGAACCATGTGGAGTAATTATTAAGCATAAGTCAGCAATTTCAAAATTTCATTGAGAAGTTTTAGAAATTTTACCCGATTCTGGATCCGATGAGTTATTCACCATTTTTTTTTCCTTATTCTCCATTTCGGCTCCTAGCCTGAGAAAAATGGGAGAGGGGGGGGGGGGGGTTACGGAGTAGTAGTAGCAGTGCCTCGGAGTAAAGACAAAAGGAGCTTAAGAGGTTGTGATCTGCAAGTGAGAGAGTCAGATTCTTAGGCCAAAATGTATCGAATCAGGACAAGACATCCCCCAAAGGCCAGAACAACCGACAAAACGACCCCGACGGGAAGGTAAATGGGTGTTCTCGCAAATACTGTTGTAGTGAGGAGGAGGAGGCAAATGGCAGTAAATATAGGTAGTAAGAAAGGTAATTTTCATTGCACAGGACCGGACCTTGTAGTTTTGTAAAATAACAGCAACCGCCGTAATTTTATGGCAAAAAAAGAGGATTCAGTGCCTTTTTTTTTTCGAATGAATTCAAAGGATTCGGTAAACTTAATCATGCCGGGTTAATTTGCTCAAATTATCTTACATAAATCTAGAACCTAGAAGAGGCTTATATAGGGGTGCACCGAGTAGGGGTGGGCAAAAAAACCCGTCGATCCGAAAACCCGATGAACCCGATCCGATTCGATCCGAAAAATAGGATACCCGATCCGATTTTTCTTAGCGGGGCAGATGAGGGTCGGGTACCCGAAAAATCGGGTACGGATACGGATCAGAAAAATAAAAACCCGCGGGTACCCGACCCGCAAGGTATATTTTATAAATATTAAAAAAGTAGGGATCATTTTATAATTTTGTAATTTTTAATCCTAAGTGCAAGTGAAGTGGCTCGCAGCCTCATATTCTAATCCTATATGATCTACTCTTCTCATTTTAATCCTAATTTTGTATATTTTATATTTTTTTTTGTCCATCAGATATTCTAATATGTACTAAATTTATGAGATCGATTTGATTATTGGATGAAATGTGTGAAAATGGTGATGTATGGACTTTAATTACAATATCTCTACCAATATTAATTGGAAAAGCATGTTTTTTTATTGAAAAACATGTTGATATTAAGTAGAAAATAAATTTTTTTTATTGAAAAATAGTTTTTTTTAGGGGCGGGTACCCTATGACCCGCCCCTTTTTTTCGGGTACCCGCTATTCGGGTACCCGAAAATATTAGGAGCGGGTTAGAGTCGCAAAATGGCTGATCCGATATATTAGAGTCGGGTCAGCCAAATCATGTTAGGGGCGGGTACCCGACCCGTGCCCACCCCTAGCACCGAGGTTACTCAAATTGAACTTGTATTTGAGTTTGACTTGTTAATATATCTAACTAAATTAAAATATGATTTTAGACCTCGATTTGAGCTCAAATAAATTGAATATTTTACATGTAAA